GTTAATAAGACGAGAAATAAAAGTTTCATTATAATAATCTAATATAACCATAAATTAAAACTTTATATACAAACCAACTACAACAAAACTATATACTTTGCAACTAATCTAAAGATAACTAAACATTTGTTGGTCCTCCCTTTGTTCACACCCACCAGATGATCATAGTCATCACAATAATGCATAAGAACAAACCAATAATACACAAACATAAGGGTAAGCTAGTGATACAAAATGCATCATAATATACATTGACATTTAATACATGAGTCATATATCACATAAAGCAATCCAAACATCTTAATCACACCAAGACCTAGATTGGACTATCCGGATATAGTATGAACATAGAGCTATGGAAACTTTTGCACTTGTGTGGTGGAACAACTGACCTACTCAAAGCTACCACACAAGGTTAGTCCATTAAAGCGTCCTTTGCCAATTGGAGAAAGGCTCGCAGACTAGAATTTCCCACTACTCTCACCACATGACTCATCCCTCTCTATTTGAGCCTGAATGATCATTAGAGTGTTAGGATAACCCCCAAAATTAAGCTTCATGCATTCATACCAACAATAATTGAAACCACCAATATGAATTTCTTCCTTGGAATTCCTTTCCACACTTTTTCACCCACATACATATCCTTTATATATAACACAGTAAGTAAATCATATAAAACCACAACATATCCATCAATCCACAAGACCAATTCAAGAAGAACCACTAAACAACACAAAAAAAAACCATTAAACCCTTACATAGAAGTGGCGCTCAACGCCCAGAAGGTAGTGCTCAATGCTCAAGCCATTGGAAAGTGGCACTCAACGCCAAAAACAGGAACTCAATGCCAAGGCCAATCGAATCATGGTGCGTAATGTCCAGAAAAGGGTGCTTAGGCACCATATCAGTTGACAACACACTATGAATATGGCTTCTGATGCACTTGAGACTTGTTCTCATGATCAAACGAATTCCTTACACCTTAGAATTGGAGTAAAAACACGTTTATAGTTAAAACAAAAGTACTCCTTTGATCATTAGACCTAAAACTAGATGCATTAGGTCCATTTGACAGCTCCAAAAGTACCTAAACTCAAATCAACATTTTCTAACTCAAATTTATGCAAACTAAGAGTCTTAAACAAACCCCAAACCCTTTCCTTATGCATAGATCCTCAAAATTAGAATCTCAGTGGTTAAAACCCTTAAAATTAAATCTAAAACTATAAAAAAACTCAACCTATCAACTACTAACCCATTTTACATCAGATTTTATGTTAACTAACAACCTAGAAAAGTTTCAAATGATCATAAAACAAAGGTTAAACCACTTCTGCAATCCTTATTTCTGTTGAGTTTTCTCAAATAGGTCATTTTCTTAATTTTTTCCCCAATTGAGTCCCTAAAAGTGAAAAATTGAAGCAATTTACTCCCTACCATTAAATTGGCTTAACAGGGTTAACTTTCAAGTGATATGTCAGTGTGAGGAGGAATCATTAAATGACATGACACATTTAGAGCAGGTTACGTGGAATATATAGTTAAAAAAATAAAAAAGAATTCTGAGAATTGAAAATCGAATTAGGACTCATCATCTTCAACCTTACCTTTCATCATCTTCAACCCTAACGATTGATGCTCAATGTTCATCACGAAATTAGGGTTAATGAAACCCAAAAAGTTTCTAAAATACGAAATTAAGCACCACCAAATTAGGGTTTATCAAAATCAAATTGGATTCGAGATTAAAGACGCAACAAATCACTGATTCATAGAGTTCGAGATTGGAGTGAAGTCAAATGTCTCCCAGGGCCTCTCCTTTGAGATTGGGGGTTTTCTCATGCTTATGTTTGCGCGAGAAAGATGAACTCGCAATGGGTTTCTATTTCTGTATTTTGTGATGTCTATAGGTTTGCAGGTTGGTGGATTTGTGAAGAAGGAGACTTGCAGAGATGAAGGATGTGTTGGTTCTCGCAATTGCTCGAGGAAGGAGAAATGAAGGTGTTGGAGCTCTCATGGCGTGGTCTCGCGGCGACGCAAGGAGTTCTTGATTCTGGGTTTTGCGCGAATAAGGTTTGCAATTCAGATGCAATTGGAGAGCTCGAACGCGATTTAGGGTTCTGCGTTGATGGAGATGATGTAGTGTCACAACAACGATCGCGATTAACGTTCAAGGATTTCGCGATTTCTGGGCTTTACTGTGTGCAGGTATCATGACGCGAAGAAGGATGATGGAGAAGGCTGCCATGGTTGCACGTTTAGAGCTTGAATGGTGCTGATGGTGGTGAGTTCGCGTTGCGGAGGATGACGTGGTGGTGGCTAGAGTTTGGTTGTACGTCGGTGACAATTGCGATTATTGGTGGCGCTGCTGTGTTGCACGAGAAACAACGGTCCTGATGGAAAAAATCACAAAATATATTTTTTAATTATATATTTCACGTAACCTGCTCTACATATGCCACGTAATATAACATAATGGCCACATATTTAAAATATTCCATGTCAAACTGATAGCTCATGAAAAAGTTAACCTCGTTAATCCAATTTAACGATAGGAAGCCAATTGCTTCAGTATTTCACTTTTAGGGACCTAATTGGAAAAAAAAATAAGAACATGACCTATTTGAGAGAACCCAACAGAAATAGGAACTACAAAACTGGTTTAAGCTAAAACAAACTCAAAAGTTCAGTTTCTCCCTTTTGACCATTACTTCAAAATCTTACCCATCAAAACTCCCTTTTTAGGCCAAAACAACTCATGACTCAACTTACTTCTTATTTCTACTCACTACATGAATTACATACCATAAACATTGACACCAGCAACCATTCACAAGATTTATCCAATCCAAAATAGAATCATACCAATCATTCAAGCTTAATGCCACCAATTAAACTCATCTAACACAATGCAAAATTGAATAAATATCTCAATAATAATAAAGTCATCTTATTATTCAAATAACAACAAATCATACTAGAAAGTTAAAATTTAAAAATGAACACTAGTTTTCCTTACCTTACACCGAAGCTACTTAGCTCAAAAACGCCGAAACCCTTACTTAGGGTTCAAGGAAACCTAAGAACGCCTACAAAACACATAAAGGAAATCGGAGAGAATCCTTAGAACCTCTAATCAACAAGAAACCAGGAAAAGAGACCAAAACACATATGCGATAAAAAATCATTATGCATGACCTCAACCTAAGAATGAAAAGCAAAAAGGAGCCAAAACTTACTTGCTTTAAACCAAAAATTGATCCGTAGATGTTGGAGATTACTCAATTGTGATCTTCTAAACACTTCCTGATCGTCAAACAGATGATCAATGAGTTAGATTTCTTAGAGTGAAGAAAGAGAAAACTTAAAGAAAGAGTTTTGGAGAGATGATTTGTGTTTTAGATAATGAGATGAGTTTAAGAAATTTTATTTATGTTATTGAATTATTTAATTTTAAAATACTCGATCTTATTATTTTTACGAACTCTAATACTTTATTTTGTAAGTTCTTATCTGTATTCTTTAAATTTATTTTAAACTTTTTCTTCATATTTGTTGTTGGTATTAAACTATAAAAATATACTATTTTAATTTTTGAACGTATTAAATATTTATTCTTATAATTTATTACTAGTTTAGTTTTTGACCATATTAAATATTTAATATTATAATTTTATTACTTTATTATTTACTATAGTTATCATATTTATGACTAAATATGTCTTATAAATGTATTACATTTCTTTTATTGTGTTACTTTTATCGATATATAAATATGAATATATATATATATATATATATATATATATATATATAAAAGTGTATATCTACATATATTTAGTATTAATAATTTTTATAATGTTATATATCTTGATTTTACCCAATAGAAAAAGAAAAACTAAAAAATAAAGATATCATCCCCTTCTAAAACTACAAATTCAACCCATCCTACCTCATTACTTCTCATTTCTAAACTAACATAGCTTTGATGGGTAATAATAAATGTGTCTGAAAATCAACAGTAAATAACTAATATCTACAAATATTTTATTATTTATAAATATGAAATAATAAATATTTTAATATTTGTTTATATAGATAAATCAAATATAAATGTTATACTATAGATATTTATTATTTGTAAAATTTAAAAATAAAATTTAATTTACATTTTATTAAACTAAATTTAGATAAAATTGAATTTTAGTTTAATGTATATTATTTTATAAAATTTTTAATTTTATTTTAAAAAATTTATAAAATATTTTTTGGTTTCAAGTTAAAATAAAAATTTATAAAATATTTTTTGGTTTCAAGTTAAAATACGAAATTCTACAATTAATCAATTCTACGTAATAAAATAAATTTTAATTCCACATAATAAATGTGTCTGAAAATCAGCAGTAAATAATTAATATCTTCAAATATTTATTATTTAGAAATACTAAACAATAAATATTTTAATATGATAAATCAAATATAAATATTATATGATACATATTTATTATTTGTAAAATTTAAAATTAAAATTTAATTTATATACTTTTTAATTTTATTTTAAAAAATTTATAAAATATTTTTTGGTTTCAAATTAAAATACGAAATTCCACGATTAATCAATTCTACGTAATAAAATAATTTTTAATTCCACATAATAAAATAATTTTCATAATCAATATTCCATCATTTACACAACACTTATTTATTACATATTTAAAAAAAAAACTCAATTAATATTACTTAAAATATGATAACTTAATTAAAATTTCAGTCCAAAAATATAATGTTCATCCAAAGTTTGAGTCATATTTTTCTAAAATATATGCGATTATCGTAAAGGTAAAAAACGACGATCCAGCAAAATCACCTGCAGATCACGAAAAAAAGGTAATGATTTTTTTTTAGTTGATGATAGGCTTAATCCGTGGGCGAAGACATCCCTATTATCCATGGCAGAGGATCTTGTTGTGATTGAAACACCGATTGAAGGCATAAGTAAATGAATCTGATAGCAGCAGAACAAGTGCTGGAGCCATGGCACAAGCTAGAAGACAAAGTCGTTCTTGTCACTGGTGCTTCCTCCGGAATCGGACGAGACTTCTGCATCGACCTCGCTAAAGCTGGCTCCTACGTCGTCGCAGCAGCTCGCCGCCTCGATCGCCTCACTTCCCTCTGCCACGAAATCAACCGCCTCTGGCCCTCCCCCGCCGGAAACATTCGCGCAGTGCCCGTCGAGCTCGATGTCGCCTCCGATGCCTCCACCATCGACAAGGCCGTGCAGAAAGCCTGGGACGCCTTTGGCCGCATTGATTCCCTGATTAACAACGCTGGTGTCAGAGGTAATCCACTAGGACATTTTCTATTCTTATTATTTGGCTTAAATTTTGTTTTTGTTACCTCATTATATATTATGTTGGTTTTTAATTTTTTAAATATAGTGTATGTAATGTTCAAAATTTTTGTGTTAGTCTCCATTGTTATTTTCTTGGGTTATGACATGTGATTCTGTTTTGTTGATGATTAAACGTTATTAGTCAATTGTAGAAAGCTTTTCTCCTTCCCGATTATGATCATTATTAGAACTTGCTGAAAGGATTCAATTCTAGTTTCACTCAGACCAGGGACAGGTCATTTTTAAAATTTTAGACCTGACTTTTTAGTCATGTTAACGGTTAATACCAAAAGTATTGAATATTATAGAGCGACTCAAGCTAAAAAAGAGAAGAAATTATTTGTTTATTTCTAACATTGGGGGCATAACTGAAGTGTTTGAACACATTGTAACACTTGATTGCTTCCTAAAAATTGTAGTGGCGTTTTCACTATTTATTTTGTGTAGGAAGTGTTAAATCACCCTTGAGATTGTCTGAGGAGGAGTGGGATCAGGTTTTCAAGACTAACGTTACCGGTTGTTGGTTGGTGTCAAAATATGTGTGCAAACGCATGTGTGATGCCCAGATAAAGGGATCAGTTATTAATGTTTCTTCAGTTGCTGGTTTAAATCGGGGGCAATTGCCTGGAGCTGTTGCCTATGCGTCTTCGAAGGCAGGAGTAAATATGCTGACCAAGGTGATTGTACCATTTGAGATGTTTTTTCTTAAAATCTAACCATCTTTTTTAATTTTCTCTTTATTTTTTTCTTTTGATTTCTTAATATTTTTATGACAACTGCATCATAGCAAAAAGTAAATGAATCAAGATGATGAAACTTGTTTGATGTGTTGTGATATACTGTTAGGTTCTTTTTTTCTGATGTAAGGATAATAGTTCTTGCTAGGCAAAATTAACACCAAACAAAGAAAAGAAATACTGAACATGCTTCTTGATTGCTGATAGAAAGAGAACTTAGACAAGTATCATCCACTACAAGTATACCCAAAGGAGCTTTCTCCTTATTACACTGGAATTTGCCTAGCAACCTCTCCCCTTTACTTGAAAGAGGACTTATTTGTAGGAATTACATTAAAGTAAATAACAGGACATTCCTATCCACCTAATAACCTGTTACAACTTTGATGCTTTCCTTTCCCTATGCATGCAAACCCTTTCCTCCTATAGATCTTTGCCAGCACTCATTCCTAACATATACAATTACAGAGTTTGATTTATCTGATTTATCAGGGTTATATAGAAATGAAAAATTGCCAATATTAAGATAAAAGGTGATATAGAAATTAGTTTGGATCTACAGTTCGTTCTATCACAACAGTAAGCATATAAAGTAGTTATTTTAATCAGGATACTTTAATTAGATTGAATAAGAATAAGTCGGATAGGGATCTCTATTTTTAGTCAGAGAAAAGGCAGAAGAAAGAAAGAATAAGAAAATAGGTCTTAGGGGAATTAGGCCTGGGCCTAATACTGTAACTAATAACTAACTCTAGTTAGTTAGTTTTAGGTGGAGGGCGGAGGGAATGAAAGGGTAATTGTACAGGAGAAGAGGATAATCACAAAAATCAGTTGTTATCGAATATTTGTGTTTCAGTCGTATAATTTTCATTTTCTTATAAACAAGTATCTGTTTTCTTTTTGTTGTTTCTATATGATCCCCTCGTCTTCCGTAGTTTCCGTATGAGATCAGATTATGTTTATCCCTTTAGCATCGTAAAATCAGTAAAGCTATCTTTATTGACGTGATAAAGAAAATGAGAAAGTGGAATCATTACCATTCAATTAAGAATTTTTGGGATATTTCCAGATTACAGTTCACAAAACTACTAAACATTCATTTTTACAACTTTAGTGATAACGGCACACTCTTATAATATCATCATATGTGAATCATTACTTGGCATGATTCTAAAGTTAGTGAAGTTAATGCTGCAGTTATGTCAACGGCATATATGTCTTGTATTGTATCAATTTTTTACTACTTTGCCTCATTTGAAATATTGTATTTCACAGTATCCTCGATAATTTCAATGCATACCATGATAGGGGAGAAGGAGGAATTAGGCACCGAGTGTCAATTAATTTTTATGGTCTCTTTCTTTTAATAGCAGTGCTACTTTTTAGATAAAGTAGAAAAGAGTTGCATCCATGAAGTTTTAATATGAGAACTCACATTCGGATTGTTGCTAAATTTTGGTTAGCTTTTCAACCACCTACGTACAGAATCATATGCATTAAAGGTAAGGAAGTAGCTTGAATAGAAATAACTACGGAATCTTTTCCTATATAATTAAGATACTGTAATCAAACTTCCTATTGTTGCTCTTAATATTCCAGTGAGACAGATGTTCGTAATAATTCTCAATACATTTCAACTATCTTTCTTTTCTCATAATACGATGTATAGCTCCTTATGGCATTGAGCTCTAAATTGCTATACTCAAATTCAACGAATTATATAGATGGAGTAATGCACAAATTGGAAGCTGGTAAAGATTTTACTACTTGTGTCATATTGAATAAACAGCATACTGATATCACTATAACTAGGGTGATGGTATTTGACAGGTCATGGCGATGGAATTGGGAGTGCACAAAGTTAGAGTGAATTCAATATGCCCTGGAATTTTCAAATCTGAAATCACTGAAAATTTAATGCAAAAGAAATGGCTTGAAGGTGTGATCAGGAAAATAATGCCTTTGAGAAGATTAGGTACTTCGGATCCAGCATTGACATCTCTAGTTCGTTATCTTATTCATGATTCTTCAGAGTATGTCACAGGCAACAATTTTGTTGTTGATTTTGGAGCCACCTTACCGGGTGTGCCAATTTATTCTTCTCTATAATTTATGTATACATTGTTCGGTATCCCAATATGAACCATTCCATTACATCTTCAAACTAAATGATAGAGTTCTGAAGTTTATATATATGGAGAATAATATACAATGGCTACCACCTTGATCTTACTTTACCTATTTTCTTTTTCACTTTTTGGATTATCTCATCCGAAAATCCAGAAGGTACTAATTCCGGAATGTAATTTTGCATTCCGGATTAGTAAATTAAGAAGATAAAAGAGGTACAGAAAGACCATACTGACCTATGTTCTGTTCTTCTAAACATGGTGGTTCCATTATGTTGTTGTCATACAAATGACCAAACAGTGACAAATTATCCATTAGGTTGCCTTAACTTGTGAAGTTCGAAGTTTCTTCACACTAGGATGATGTGGCAGTAGAATTATGCTGATATATCATTATTACAAATACTTTCTTACATCTAAACAGTTATTTAATAGAAACAATCTCGATAATCAGATGATGAAATTAAATTTTAATCGACCATAGAGGGACTCTTTATTTTTATTTTTTCATTGTTATCTTTATATAAAAATTTATTTATGTTCTGTAAAAAAGGATTTGTTTTTCTTTAATGGTGAGACTGTACAGAGAAGAGCTTCATTTATTACACTTAAACACTGTGTTTAAGAATCCTCTCAATATATTACATCGAAAAATGAAGGAATGATAAAACAGAACAGCATGCATGCATATGACAAAGATACAAATCAGTAGAAAATATTTTTATTGGGGATTAAAAAAGCACACTACCATTTTTAACAAATCTAGATATGTATTCATCAGATTTTTAAATTATGGTGACTTCAGGTAAATAGTTTAATTAAATATTTATTTGATAATGTTTCAATCTGATTTCGTTGAAATGATATTATGAAAATTAATCATAAAAAAAAATAATATTGGTAAGATTATTCACCATTTTACCAAACACAATAAACATTACAATCATAATAAATTATAACAGTGTGTAACATCCGATTTTAATAGTATAAACTACTAAAATAAAACGTTATATAGCTAAAACTTATAAGAGATTAAAGATTTTTAGAGAAGAAGATTATACACTTGATGAACAAACCTATCTACATTGTTGTTTCATCTTCCTCTTCACACTGAAACGACCAAAGAGATATCCCTTCCCTAGGCTCACAACATTTAAGGTGATTATAAAAGAGAAATATATACAAAGACAAAGAACATAAAAGCAAGAGCAAACTAGTGGTAAATAGTTTATCTCAATAAAATAACATTTCATCATGTATTACAATTCACAATATAAACATTCATCTTAATCATGTAATAGACTTAGACTTGATCATCCGGATATAGTATGAATGTCGAGCTATGGCGGTTCTTGCATTGTGGTGGCCTTTTTTGCTCTGTAGAGCCATTGTCAACGGGTTTCACCCAACCACACTAACAAGGTTAGTCTGTAACACGCCTTAGGACATACTAGAAGCACCTAAGACTAAGACCTTCTGTTACTCTCACCATATGTATCGCTTCTCTCTAATTGAGAATGAATGATCATTAGAGTGTGAGGATGAACCCCAAGACTGAGCTTCCCATATTCATACTTACAACAATACAGGGCACCACCATGTAACCTTTCCACGAGGGTCATGAAATTATGTCCATCAACCATTCACTTAATCAACCACATATTCATCATCATCATATCCTCTCATAATCATATATGCAAATACTTCACATAAACATTGTATAATATCACATGAAACCTCAAAGAATTCATCATGGAACCATAAACAATGATCAAGAAATCACAATACAGCCTAAACACCAAATAACCAAGACCTGAGAAATGGCGCTCAAGAGCCCAGGGTGCGGCGCTCAGAGCCCTAGGTGTTGTTGCCTGGCACTCAACACCCACCCCAATGTTAGCGCTCAACGCCTTGGCCTCTGAAAACTAACGCTCAGGTGCCCCAACAGAGGCGCTTAAGCGTTGTGACAAAAGACAACACTTATGTTTTTTTGGTTTGATGCACTTGAGACTTATTTCTACTTATCAAATTGGATCTTTAAACCTTAGGGTTCATATGAAAACACATTTATAATTCAAACCAAGTACCACTTTGATCAATATACATGAGACTAGGTGCATTAACCACTATGGCAATTCTAAATAGAGCCTAAACTCAAATCAACCCTTTCGCTCTCAATTTTTTGTAAACTAAAGGTTGTAACAACTCATAAATAACTCAAAAACATTTCCCAACACCTCAAATTCACTACAACTTCTATATTTTAGACTTTCACTATCTCGAACCTCCAAGTTGAACTTAAAACATGATACAATAACAACATACATACTCCATATCAAATTTCACTTAATTTAACATATATACAAGTCCTAAATAACCTAAGAAATGACCCTGGACTTCTGATTTTCTCATCTAACCCTTATCTCAAAATCTCAATTGTCGAAACCCCAAAATGAACCAAGAATACATACAAAACACCTCTTATTTACTCTCAATCAATACTACAACATATTTCCTTCAAAACATGACTTGAACAAGTTTCAAATAACTCTATAAAACATCCCATATTGTTGTTTATCCCTTTAAACTCATACTTCTAAAATCACTTATCAACACCCTTCTTTTAAATCAACTAACTCTTGTTTCAATCCATACTCTTTCTTTTCAACACATACACCAAATTCATAATTAACCATTTCAAAGCAAACAACATATTCCACACAATAATCACATCCAATCAGAATTATTCAACTAAATTCAATTTAATCAAACCTAATTCAATCATATTCATTTCAAGCAATCGATTCAACATTCATTGTACTCACATTCTACCTACTATCATTTCATACTTTATAGCTTAAAATTAAATAAAACACTAGCTTCCCTTACCTGTTAGAAAGTTCAACTGGTTATAAAGAACACTACCATGTTCCCTCAGCTCAAAGAACATGATCGGGGTATATAATTAGAACCATTAATCAATAGAGAACCTAACAGAAAACTCAGACCAAACATGCAACAAAGAGAAACCTCACATTCATTGAAGAATGTGAAACTAGATAAAATGATAGAAAACTCACTTACTCTATTTGAAAAACTGATCGGACAGACTTGAAGATCTCACTACAACGATCACACAAGTATTCTCTGATCTTCAAATATATGAACATGGTGGGACAAGAACCCTTGTAGTTTTTAGAAAGATGATGTATTTTAAAATAACGAAACTCGTTTATAACAATTATTTTTATATTAAAATAATAAAATTTCATTATTTTTTAATTTACTATCACTTCTAAAATACCATTTTCCAGGTCTTCACGCATATTTATTTATATTGATAAAAGAAAATCACATAAATTACTCTTTCACCTATAAACGATTGCGGGACAAAAATAAATAAAAGTGTTGTAAAATGGTCACAACACTCACATGCCAAAAAAAACAAATTATCACGTGCTTATCTAGATATGTAAAAAAGTTAGAACAAAAATGTCAATTACTTATATTTCCTCACATAACTAGAAAAAAAATGTAATATTTTCCAGATTTTTACGTAGAAACAATGAAGGCTTAATACCATTGTTAGTCCCAATTTTTGTCAGCTTTGTTCGAAATGTTCCTCATTTTTTTTAAGGCTTAATAGCTTATTTTGTCCTAGTTAGGCTATTAAACCTTTTTTTTAATGTTCAATGTTTAAACCTTTTTTTTAATGTTCAATGTAGTCCTAAAGGTCACAATTTGTGTTCAATTTAGTCCTTTTCGCAAACGCCATTTAAATCGATAACGACCAAATATCCAGCTATGCAATCAGTGAATGACGTGGACACTTTAACCCTGCCACCACCACCGGTGTTCATCTTCTCCGTCCAGCAACCACCCAAAAACACCACCAGGACCATCTTTCCATTCGTTCACCGTGGATCTCCATCAACGACACTGCCTCTCCTTCTCAAGCCATTACCATGGCGGCCCAACAGCCAACCACAATTAACCTCGCATTAGGCCACACTACGAGAACAACCTCCGAAATCGCCACCATCAACCATCCAAAGCTTCTTCTTCGTGCAACAAGCGGCGTCGTTCACCAATGCGAACTTCACTTAGACGCCGCCAATGCCGCACAGTCATCATCTCCTCCCTCGCGCCTCCACCGTCTTCGTAAAGCTGCAGAAAACCCAAATCGCCACTATGGCGAGCTACAACTAGAATCGTGACAAAAATCCTTACACCGTTCAAACCTCCATGGCTGTCGCGAATACCACCCAGGCTACCACCACCTTCGCGCCCTCAACCCTAATCGCAGCAGCCTGCAAGAACCCACCTGCAATGAAGTCGCGCTTGCAATAGAGTTCCACCGTCGTTTCTCCTTCGTGTGACGATAGAAGCCCTTTCCCCCTTGCATTCAGAAATCCTAATTTTTTGGGTGGGGAAAAGGTTGCCATGTGGCAGTCCCTCGTTGGCTGCGTCATGTTTTAGTCAAGGCAGGTTAACAATTAAATGATATGTCATTCACTGATTGCATAGGTGGACATTTGGCCGTTAACAATTTAAACGACATTTGCAAAAAGGACTAAATTGAACATTTTAAGAAAATTAGGACCATTTCGAGTAAAGCTAACAAAAATTGGGACCAAAATGGTACTAAACCAAATATATATATATATATATATATATA